TCTTGTTGACATCCCTGATGTCATAACTGTACAATCCACTCCATCTCCTTGTAGTCAATCCAACATGCTCATGCGTCCAGCAACTCAATATCTCAAAAGAGAAGCACATGAAGCAACTGAACCAAGTTACTGCTGCCAAAGCCGAGGCCATTGCTAAGGCCGAAAAAACAAGTCAACATGGCCTGCAACAAAGGTACTATCTTGACTAGATGAAAGCCCTCAAAAAGATGTCTGTCCTCGAGGACTCATCCCTCTGTGATATGGGTCAGCTCAATGTTCTTTTCCCTCTCTCTTCCAATCAATCTGAGGATGAGGCCGAGGAAGTAAAAGAGGCCAACGACCAGAGACAAGGAAGAGGCTGAGGTTGCCGAGAAAGAATCTGAAGCTACTGCTGGGGCCAAGTCCCTAACTCTGAATGAGCAAGTCCTTGACTTGACTCAAGATAAGGAGGATAAGGTTCAAAAGACCACTTTTGAGGCCGAGGTCAAGACTGCCAACAAGAGCCTAGATGACACACTGCATGCGATCGACGCCGAGGTCCAAGTTGAAAAATTTGCCCAGCTATCTGCCGAGGCTGACACAACGCCAATTGCCAAGGCAGGGCAGACTGTGGAAAATGCATGAACTTTGGTTTTTCCTCCTTTTTGTACTTTTCCTTCTTACTTTTGGACAGTTGTAATCTTTTGTTTGAAAAATGTCAGCTTTATATTTAGCCGATGTGCCCCTTTTGTCTTTGTAGATGAACAAGTAATCTCTTATGCTAGGCCGAAATGCCTTTGTGTATCTGAACAAGTTTCTTTTCTGAATGCAAGTATTATATTTTCTTCTAAGTGTTGAATGTACGCCTTCTTTTCTTCTATGCATGTTTGCTGCTTTCTTTCATGCTTTTCATGCTTCCAAACTTAGAATATTTTTGCATTTCTTCAAAGTGTACCTTAACTGTATAATAACTCCGGGATATAATACCTCAGATAAACCTTGACTGTTTGCCTCGGCTAACCATTTTCATACCTCAGCTAACACTTTAAAAATAAAAATATTTTTACAAGTGTTATTGCTTTTTTACCTCCATACGCTATCTTCTATTAAGATTTCACCCTTTCCAAGTTTTGACGGCCTGGTTGGTCACCTCGGGTAACATGTACCTTGGATACTTTATTCATCATTGCATCGGCTAACTCCAACTTGTAAATTTCTCCGAAATTTCAACAAGTGTTAAGCCAATTTCTGAAAATTTCAACAAGTGTCGAACTCTTAAGTTTGTTCATCACTCCAGATCCCTGCCCCCTAATGTGAACCTAAGTTCCATTTAAGTTCACATTAAGCATGTGACTATAGTCTTTTGCCGAAGTCAGATTCAAACAAAGGCTTCCCGAGGTGTTTCAACCTTGGTTTATCTGTTAATGAACTTAGTTCCATTCTGAGTTTGACTCCGCCAATATGACAAGTCCAAGTTAACGCAACTTAGTTTAATTCCATCATACTCAAGTATAATTCAACTATGCCATATAATGAGTCTAAGTTATTCGTCATGTTTCATTCAAAAACATCGCCAACTTAGTTCAACTTTATTATATGCAAGTATAATTCGACTCTGCCATATAATAAGTCTAAGTCATTCGTTATGTTTCATTCAGAAACATCGCCAACTTAGTTCAACTCTATTATATGCAAGTATAATTCAACTCTGTCATATAATAAGTCTAAGTTATTCGTCATGTTTCATTTAGAAACATCGCCAACTTAGTTCAACTCTATTATATGCAAGTATAATTCCACTCTGCTATATAAGAAGTCTAAGTTATTCGTCATGTTTCATTCAAAAATATCGCCAACTTAGTTCAACTCTATTATATGCAAGCATAATTTGACTCTGCCATATAATAAGTCTAAGTCATTCGTCATGTTTCATTCAGAAACATCGCCAACTTAGTTCAACTCTATTATATGCAAGTATAATTCAACTCTGTCATATAATAAGTCTAAGTTATTCGTCATGTTTCATTTAGAAATATCGCCAACTTAGTTCAACTCTATTATATGCAAGCATAATTCGAGTCTGCCATACAATAACTATAAGTTATTCGTCATGTTTCATTCAGAAACATCGCCAACTTAGTTCAACTCTATTATATGCAAGCATAATTCGACTCTGCCATATAATAAGTCTAAGTTATTCGACATGTTTCATTCAGAAATATCGCCAACTTAGTTCACCTCTATTATATGCAAGTATAATTCAACTCTGCCATATAATAAGTCTAAGTTATTCGTCATATTTCATTCAGAATTATCGCCAACTTAGTTTGTCACACCCCAAACTCGGGTATGACCGGCCATGGCCCACAGGGCCTTAGCCCAAGGCACACGTAAGCCTAAAACACGAATCCATAATCACATTGAACAACTAAACAATAGTCCAATAATAAATAACCAAAACTCAATCCAGACATGTCACAATTATAAACGGCAAAATCAACCGCAATCAAAAACCATCCAAACTTATGAATATAAACAGCCCACATATCAAAAATAATCCTAAATGAACTTCGATAAAAAAATATATATATATATATGCACAAACTTGACATAACACTCTAAATTAAAGGGATGCCCTAGAGGTCCATGCAATTGAGTCCCCGCTACACCATGAGCCCACTCTATGTCCTTCTAACACCTGGAAATGGTAAACAACTAAGTCAGCTGATAGCTCAGTGAGTAGCAACATGGATAGTAAATACAGTTTTGAAAACAGGGTTCAATTCCAAAATAAGGTATATATCACAGAAACTAGATTGACATACAATTTGGTAAATACAATCTGTTTCAAAAAGAAGGTTCCACAATTCAACACTTAAAATACTCATGTCTCGCATGAACATGATAAACGACATTTTTCACTTAAAACAGATTATAACATGAACACCAACAATTTTCTAGGTACCAAGAAAAACAAATAATATGCCACACAGTTCTCAAGGCTATAAGCCCCGTTGGATCCAATACCGAACTAAGAGTCATCCACAGGGTGGCACCTGGGCCTTTTCTCAAAGACGATCCGATTGAAGGTCACCTACCTTTTTTTTAAGGTCTTTTCCTTACAATCGTTGAGCACTAGAGTCATCACGGCCCAACCCGGATTTGTTCCCTTGTGGCCAGAGTCACCACACACAGTGGAATAATTTTCCTGGACTAAATACACATATGGTCCCGATAATCAATACATATCAGTTTCGTAAAACATGGTAGTTCATCATTATAAACATGAGACCAAAACAAATAGTTTACAGTATGCCAAGTTCACACATATTTCAAAAATAATTTGATTCAATTGATAATATAATAATTTATCAAAACAATTTAATCATGAAATAACAATTTAATTTTCCAACAGTTCAGGGTAGGGGAACATTTATAAAAATATGTAGCATGAAACTACTCACCTGAAAACTAAATAATATAATCCTCGAATAGAGTGTAAAAGTCCAACTAGTGTCCTGAACCAAGTATAAAAACTACACGTCACAATTAATTTAAAAATACTAAAAAATAAGAACTAAGTAACTTCAACTAAAGCGCACTAACACGGCTCAACCCAACTCACCGTTACTCTTAAATATTGCCTAAGTTCATGTTCTTCAAGGTTTAAAATCACCCAAGACATGGGTTCCGGTCAAAACTTAATTAATTGTGACTTTAAGATAAAACAGAATTTCAAACAAGCCTTCCCAACCTATTCGCTAACTTTGAAAATTACAAAACTCACTCCACGCTATTCGAAAAATTCCAATAACCTCCATATATGATATAATATATCCTAAGTTTCAAACCCAATTGGTTTCACTTGATTTGCTTATCAAAATAATTATCTACAATTTATTATATCCAAACAGGTTGTTTTTTGCAGCACTTTAAAGAAATTGACGATTCTCTTAATATACACGAGCAATCAATGCAAGGCCAAAAACGTATGAAACTAGACTCGTAACCGGTTCTAATGACACTAATTTGATAATTTTTGGATTTATACCCAAAGAGAACAACACTCCCGAATTTACTATTTCGGACTGGTTTCCTGGACAGATTTGAATACCTCAATTTATATGGATTTTGACTCCCAAAAATTATGAAAAAATTCAGATATACAATTCAATATGTAATTAATCTACAATAAAAATTTCAGTTCAAAATTCCTCCGTTTGATATGATTCCTCAAAATTTAAAGTTTATGTTTTTAGGGTCAAGAATTTCCATCCACCATTGCAATCCAAAACTTCCCAACAACCCATTTACACAAGAAAATCCATTATTAAATACTAATACCTCTCTCTTTAACTCCTTCACAGCATAAAGAAATAATAAAACACACACCTGCATACCCAACAATTTCTTTGCCACAGATGACCACTCTTACGCACAAACCAACCGAGATACACATGTGATATATTTGACTACCCAATTAACTCTATTGTTACATTAGTATAAGTATGTATGCAGGTATATCTATATAGAATAATCCCAAAACAGACCAGTCACACAACCCTCACAACGGCACAAGGAATTAAATAAAGAGAATAACAACAAAAAAGAAGATAGTGAGGAAGATTACCTTGCTAAAGACACCACAAAACTGAAACAAGCTGTCTCGTTCCCTCTCCCGTTTCTCTATAACTCACGGCTGCTACTAGGGTAGTTAAGAAAAGGATTGATATCTCACCATTAGGGTTTTATCCACCTATAATAAATTTTCAAAATGACCCCTTACTAACTAGTTTATTATTATTATTATCATTGTTACTATCATTAAGATTATTATCAATAGTCTTAAAAATTGTGGACTTCCATAAAAAATTTATTTATAGTTTAAAAATTAATTAAAGATCCCCCAAATATTTAATTTGCACTTTAGGATTTACCTTCAAAATATTTGAAATTATAAAATTATTATTATTATTATTATTTAATTATTTACTTAAATTTTTTTTTTTTATATTCGGGTTCTAACAAAGTATCTCAAGGTTCCTTAAACTCTCCAATAAAGCTATGTCTCTCATCAATCGGCCGACATTTAGACATAACATCCGAAGCTTAACTAATGTCAGAAGTGATGATGGCAGGCTCTTTATAGGCATTTCACTCAGATCTAGGACTTCAAGATTGTTTTCCATTCCATTGAAAAAATTGTTTGGAAAATCTGTTGGTGAGTCATTGTCGCACTTTAACACCAAGGTATGGAGTCCTCTACAGTCCAACTCATTGGGAAACTCATGAATAGTTGCAGTGAACCTTAATGAGATTGCCGAGTAGTGTTCATATTTGCTTTTCTCTGGCCACTTCTCGATACCATGTTTTACTAGATATCTTTTCTCATCTTCTGCGATCGATATAGCAACATCTCGAATAATATCATGCATTTTGACCACACTTTCATGTGTGTCATCTAACAACAAACAAGATGTTTTGAGGACATCAACCATCGCAAGTACTCTATCTCTTACTTCATCAAATATATTTAGGTTTTCATCAAGTAACCCCATCCCAATGCTATATCTCACCAATTCGTCAATTGAAATCTCAGCATCTTCTGGAAACAAAGAGCAGAGCAAGAAGCATGACCGTGCATCCCTGGGCTCTAGACGATCATAGCTCCAATTTAATGAGATTAACAAATTTTTATCGATATCCGCAATTTCTTTTATCTTGTAATTTTTAAGTTGTCGAAATGCATCTTTCCACGCATGTTTTCCCTTGTGTTTTAATGCTACTGCAACTGCACGTATAGCAACTGGCAAACCTCCACATTTGTCACACACTTCCTTTGCTTTAGAAGGGATTTCAGATTCCACAGAAATTTTTCGGCGACTTTCTTAAATAGGGCCCATGCTTCTGGCTCTCGTAAGACTCCTATCATGAACTCTTTGGTCCATGCTTTTGGCATCGCTATGACTCCATTCAAGGAATCGTTCTGATTGACTGGCACTGACATATTTTGGCACAAACCTCTTTTCCGTGATGTTATCACAACTTTGCAGCCCTTATTACCATCAGTAATTGGAATTTCAATGTCCGCCAAATCAAGTGGTTTCCAAACGTCGTCCAATATTACGAGGTTCCTTTCCCCATTGTTCAATCTATGATATAGTTGATATGCGTGTCCATCTAGTGTTAGTCCCAATTGGAGCGCAAGTTTTTCTTTAACAGCTTTCTCATTCAGGGTTTGGGAGATAGTTGCCATCACAACATCATCAAATAGCTCATTTTGCTTTGCTAGCTTGCCAACCTCTATTGCCATTGTGGTCTTGCCAACACCGCCTGGTCCGTATAGACCAATCATTTTAATGCAAGGATCGGCCAACGCTTTCATGATCTCCTCAAAGATCTCTGCTCTTGAATCAAAAGCCACGTAACCTTGAGAGAAATTGTACCCAAATTTCAAAGGAGGTGCGTACTGTGCCACTTCTATTGTCATATACTGTCTGCCGCTGTCTTTGAGCCTAATGACACTAGCCGTCTTCACTTTGGATTCCTTGCCTAGCTTGTAACGCTGAGAAACATTCGGACAACATTTGAGGCACCACATGTTTTCTCTTGTTGCTTCTACCAGTAATGCCTCCACATCTCCTTTGATCCCCTTTGCTGACGCTATCCACTGCAGAACGTCAGCCTCGGGGATTAGACCAATGTGTTTGGCTCTCTCGACCCTTCCATCGATCCTTGTTAGCTCATTTTCAAATTTTTCGGTTTCGTTTAGGAGATTTTCAATGTTCTTCTTGTAGTCAATCACATAGCCAATGTGCTTCCAGGCTATTTTGCAGCCTCCTGTGATTAGGGACGAAGATTTGCTAAGGATTTGGTCCAAACCAATCATTTTTGTTTTTCCTTCCTTATGTCTCTCTTCAATTGCTGAAAACAAAAGGCACAATGTCAGTAAGAAAAACTAAACTGTAGTGAAAGAAAGTATCAGAGTTTTGGATTCAAGAGTTCCTTTTAGTTATTTATATTTATCTATATACGATATATCTATATCTATATACACTATAATATAAGGGAATGGGAGTTGAGCACTTTTAAACAGTGTTTTTACCGTTCATAAGTGGCTCTGTTTTTTGTTTGGAAAATGTTTGAGGGTCACAAAATCAGTGGCTCAAATGGTTGTAAAATTATTATTATTATTTAATTATTTACTTAATTTTTATATTCAGGTTCTCACAAAACCAATGAAATGATTGTTCACAGCAATTACAAAAAGTTCTTCCTCATTGTTCAGATCTGAATACTAACTGATTCTAAACAAAGGCATAAAAAGAAGTAAGCATCATATGAATGGAAAGATGATAGGCAGTAGTATTCACAATTTATGGCCTTATCTAGTCACCATAAATAGGCATAACTTCGAGTATTCAGACAGCAAACTTGAGCCAATTTCCTAGAGGCTTATCCAACTTGAGGATGCCTTTTTATATTCACATGATATACAGCAAATGTGAATCCTCTTGAAATTAATAATTAGCATAATTAATTTCACCAACAAAATAAATTGTTGAAACTAACGCAGGTCAGTATCCAATATATTCAAGCTTACATTGAGATGAGCATTCTACATACGAAGCCTTAGTAAAAACAAACCCAAAAAGGAGGATTATGAAGAGGACATGGTTTTTTTGACCTGCATTAAAAGGATATCAATGTCACATCCACAAAGACAGCAAGACCCATTGTTGTACCAAATCCAAGACTAGTTTAATAAGAACGAAAAACACAGCAGTTTTTGTTGTCTGGAGTAGTTAAAAATGTAAAGAACTATAACCCGCATGTTTTCATTACCTATACAGTTTCCAAAAGCAGGACAATGATGGTCGAACCCCTTTACATATGCCTTGCAGTGCCTACAATATCTGACTCTCTGAAGTGGAATAGAATTCTGTGATAGCATAAATACTGAAGACTTCAGGATACATAAGATTTCAATGATAAAGAAGTAAATGCAGTGCTAAGATTTTGTGGCTAAACAGAAATTTAACATGGATAGAAAGCTGAGATATTTTCAATCAATAATGATTTGCTATGATGAAACGCAACAGAATTTAAGATAGTTCAACACATATTGCCACCAGATTACGTTTAAAGCCTTCGGCTTTTCACTATGGAATCCAGATTCCAAAAAATCAAAGACCAGAAATCCAGGATCATTGTAAGCTATGAAATATAGACCCGATAATTAAAGTTTCAGTTGATATTCATAGTTCCTTGCAATCACATCTGACTACCTAGTATGTATTAAATCAAGATAATATTTGAGAAGCAAAACATGAAACAAAACTAGCAAAGCTACCAAAGCCAATTTTGAAAACTAAAATTCAAAGGATAAATTAAATGTGATCGCAAAACTCAGTGGTATTTAATGCTGTAACCGATGAAATCACCGGAATCAGCTTACTTCTTCAGCAACAAACTCATAGGGAATGTCACGAGTTGAAGGCACCAGTTCCTGCTCCAGAAGATAATTTCAATATCTGTGTTAATCATATGATTCATATCTAATTGGAGGGGCTTCTCAACATTTTTCAACCTCAGAATGGGCTTCAAATACTGAGACAGGACTCTCAACAAGCTGGTTATGATGGGAAGATTCATTTGTAACATAACCAGGGTCTGTTGTCAGGATACTGGCACCAAGAAACACATAGTTAGGATAATGAATAAATGATTGAAATTTCATTCTTTCAAACCTTAAATCTAGATTTTGTACGAACAAATTAGTTCAATCAATTTTTGAGTGTAGAAACAATAATCTGACCTGCATAGACCAATCACGAGCATAAAGAACTCTGCGTTGAGTATAACGTCTAGCAAAGGTGAAATGACTGAAAAAAAGATAATTTTTTTAAGGATGTCAGGATTCCATACAAGTCACAATTTGGAAAAAGTAGATACATATCGATGATGAGCAACCAATAATCCATCCCTATCCAACTAAAATTTGAGCATTCTCACATAATTTATCATCTGGTTGGAAAAAATATATTACTCACTCCTTTACAGAGAAATGAACAAACAAACAGAAAACACTGAGAAATTTTTATATGTTAATAGGGTACACGTAGCACTACCTTTTATCAATCAATCACAAATGTATACACCTTCATTTTTCCTCAAACATCCAACATAAATGTAATGACCCTACTGTCAAATTCAAAATAGTAGAAGCTACACGTGGCATCTACACCCAAAAATTCCTTAAAAACACCATGTATATGATGAATAAATAAACCATCTCCGACTGTTGAAAAAACCCACCACTCGAATCCCATTGCATGCAGAACCCAGACTTTAAAATTCGTAGAATAATCAAACAGTGAATCATATTGAGGATACAAATTAGAGACTAGAGAGAGAGAGATTACTGAGAAGAAAGAGGGACCTTGTCGAACCAATCCAATATAAACGCCCCAACTGAATATAATATTGAAGAAAACGAAAGCCGGCGCTGATTCTGCCACTCCTACAAGTCTCTTGCAGCATCTCCCAACACCTGTCACTCCCAACAGTGCTAAAGCTGTAACAAAAGCAACCACTTCAACCACATATTCATATATATATATATAGAGAGAGAGAGAGAGAGAGGACCTGAGAGTGAGAGGAGAGAGAGAGAGAGGAGAGAGAAGGAAGGGAAGAAGGAAGGAAGCAAGAAGAGGGACAGTTGAGTTAGGGATGAAGAGACAAATGATATCAAACAACGACCAATCGAATTGGACGAAGCTACTCTTCAAATCATAGAGGCTCAGGAATTCTGAAATTTTTATTTATTTTTCTTTCTATACCAAACACAAATTTACAGAAATCGGAGTATCTACTTTTTCATTCAGAAATGAAATCCCTCATAACAGGAATTTTTTTGTCTTCCCATTTAAACATTCATAACAAGCAGCCAAGTTAAACACTAACCCCAAATTAAAAAGCCCTAAATTTTGAAATTGAAAAACCCTAAGCCCTAATTTTCAAATTGAAAAGCCTCAAATCAAAACTCAAAACCCTAGTATCTAAACATGCACCTGAAATTGGACGGTGGGAGGGATAGGTGCGAGAGCTCCGGTCGAAGGGAGAGGTGAGATGACTCCGTTTGCTTCGTTCGCTGGTCTTCGTCGACCGGAGGGAGAAGCGAAGACGAACCGGGCTGCGAGGGAGGTAGCTCCAAAGGACTGCTCGAGCAACGCAATGGCCGTCACGAGCGAAGCAATGGCTGTTGCTCTAAAGGACTGCTCTTCCCTCTGTCTCTCTTCATGGTCTCTTTTCCCTCCATCTTTTCTTCGTCTTCTCTCTCTCTCGAACACATCTCCCTGTAGTCTTTTTCTATTTTTCCCTTTTTCTTTTTTTTGGGACCAGGGAGTAGAAATTTAGACAAAACTTTATGAGTAAATTTTAATTGAGGCAAAATTTTGAAGGGCTTATTTCAAAAATATTGAGAAGAAATTTGAGATAAAATTTTGTAATAAAAATTGGTTTTAATTTATATTTTTTTAAATTTTATTATTTATGTTTGTAATTTTACCTTTATTAAGGTTTAATTAATATTTTGAATGAAAATAAATAAATTTAAGAAATTTTATGATTTTAATCAATAAACAATAATTCTATTAAAAAAATAATTATTATTATGTTCTTAATAATTTATTATTTAATTATTAATATTTTTTTTTAACTGATTATTAATAATTATTTCAAATCGAAACAAATTTAATTAATATTAGGAAACATTCAAAACTACGTAGTTTTAATACAAAATATGGTAGAGAGAGAGAGAGAGAGAGAGATACCTGTTGTAGCGAGCGCCGACCGGCGACGTACGGGTTAGCCAGTGCGACAAAGATGGACGGACGGTGTGACGTAGATGAATGGGTGAGGGGGTGACAGAGAGATATAGAAAGTAAAATACATGCATCTAAACAGAGAGATATCTATCTGTTGGTTCAATTTTATTTTTTATTGATTTAAGCATTTGGTGACGAAATTTGATTTTCCTCTCTAAAAATAATACATTTGGAGATGAAATTATTTCCTCTCTAAATTTTTTTTACAATGGTGACGAAAAATTTCGTCTCCAAAATGGCACCAAATCTTCCGCCAACTTTTCCTAGGGTGAGAAACTGTTTTGTGACGAAAAATAAAATTTAGAGACGAATAATTTTTTTGTCACCAATTGTTTTATTTGATTTTAAGCATTTGGTGACGAAATTTGGTTTTCGTCTCTAAAAATAGTACAAATGGAGATGAAATCTTATTTTCATCACTAAAACATGTATATTTGGAGATGAAATATTTTTTCGTCATGCGTTTTCGTCACTATAGACCTTTTTTGTTGTAGTGTGTCTTCTGGGATCTGGAATCCGGGATCTGCTCACTTATGTTGATCCTTCTATACTTGAAAGTCATCTCCTTGGGAGCGCTCATGCCCCCTGTCTTTGCATCTCTTCTGAAAGGGTCTTCATTCTGTTAATGTCGACACATTCTCCATCTTCACTAAACTAGTCGTTGCTGACTTGTTGATCTTGCACGATGATGGCCATCTATTCTAACTAAGTTCCCACAGACGGCGCCAAATTGTGGGTGTTGATTTCTGACCACACAACCAAACGGGGAACTCAGCTGGAGAGCACCGGCAGAATAGATTAGGCCCAAACACCTGCCAACAAGAATATGAGAATATCACGATGGTTTGTCCACCCAGGGGCACTCCGACGATCAAGTCAGTAATCTTATCTCTCATAGATATCAATACAAGTACTTAAACTTCAACAATGAAAGCATAAAAGCATCTCAAATAAAACTAACCTTAGACCCACGAGGGTGCCTTACTTTTATAATGATCAG